AACTTATTTAGCTCATTTTTTGTTCTAATTATATCTTGCTTGGGCTAATATAAAAATTATTTTTATTTCATAAATTTATTCATTTGTCTACTAAATGACATCACAGACACCAAAGAAAAAAGCTCGCTAGAAATTGGCTGTATGATGGAAAGAGCCAATCTACAATGAAAAATTTATTTAGGATCATTTCAGAGTAAAGTAGACTTAAACGTAAACAAGCTGTAACCACATTCATGATATTCCTTAAAATATAAGGACTCTATTTAATACTGTATGATTTTTCTTATTGTGATTCTTTATCTTGTTATACACCTATTTTATTTGCTATGATTTCTCCATCAAGTTTTTATTTCCAACTTTTTACTTCCTTTTTGTTGCAAAATAGTTAGGACCATTAAACCATGACTAATGGTAAATCATTCTAGATCAATCCCACTAAGTATGGTTTATTTTGAATCCCAAGTCAATCTCTGTAGCCTTTTCTAATCTTTCTTCCATTCTTGTTTTCTCTCTCCTTTTCTTTCTTTCTCTTTTTTCTTTTCCTTCCTTCCTCCTCTATCCTTCTGTTTTTCCTTTCCTTCCTTCCTTCCTCTTTATTGAAACATTTAAACAATAGGTTAACTGTATTATTTCTAAACCATTTGCACCTTGATGTAAAAGTTTACAAATAGGCTTCACAAATGCTTGGGTATTGATATTCTGCATCGGTACTCTGATTATGACTTTAAAATGGTTTCCCCAGACAAGGAGAAAAAGTATAGACAAAAGGAAGCACGAACAATTTTAAATGGTGTTTTGATGATTCTACTGTATTTTCATTTCTTTCTAATGATGTTTTTCTTCTGAGTCTTCTCAAGAAATGACAGGTGGACTTAATGATGTTTGCCTGAGGCCTAATTCCTCCACGTTTCCTGAGTGTGGTGAAACAGCAGTAGACTAGAGTTATCAAAATATGGGGTATGCTGAATTTCTTGTGCACTGGGGCTCAGGTAGAACTCAGGAGAAGCCCAGACAACTCAAATTGGAAAAAAAACAAAAACAAACACAAAAAGATCACAGACCACTTAAAACAAGGGAAGCATTTAAAACAACAATAAAGTCAGTACTAAAATAGGAGAAGTACGTTTCCAAGTGTGCATGCATGCTCACAGGGCAATATGAACCCATTTATATGATAATGACAGAATTATGGATTAATTTTCTATCTCTATATAAGTATTGTTAACTTTTAACCATAGAATATTTTTAAAATATCCAGAGTTCAGCTAAGGAAGAATCTCTTTCAAAATAAAACTGTAGTATTAATAACAAGTAAATAAAAAGACTAACAAGATATTTTGATTTGGAGGATACTTTTGTAGTGAAATCAGAATTTGATAACTATGTTGGCTACAATAATTATAAAAGAAATACAATTCTACAGAAGTAAGTCTGATAAATGTAAGTTTTGTAGTTAAATTTACTACTATGCACTTTCATAATAAAAACCTGCAGGGTAAAAACTGATAACCAAAAAAGTTTTGGACTTCTTAACCAAACCTAATGGGGAACATGCCATCAACTGAATGTTTTATAATTTGACTCCTTTATGTTAATTTCTCAAATTTTTAGGTTTATTATTCTGGTAAATAACATGTTATAATAACTTATAACTATAATAATTTATATTAGTCATGGTAAATAAAATGATGCAGATTTATCGAACAAAATAGTTGAACTATACTCTGTATAGTAAAATTGTATGGGCACTGCTTGAAAGATTTTTAGTTCAAGAATAAGAAAAAAAATACATAAACTGATTTTAAAAAATGCAAAGAGGTGAAGGAGACAATTAAAGTGTAAATAGGTATCTGGTGAATCTTGAAGTTCCCTGAGCGTTTACTTTGAGTGAAAATATTGGAGAAGTCCCAGTAGAAGAAGGGAATTTTATAATAGCTATTAAAACTAATTAGCATTTTCCCATGTATGAAGGCAAATATATATATATATATATTTTTTTTTTTCCTTTTTGTCTTTATTCGTGTCTGGCAACGGACCACAACCCTCAGTGTCGCGCCTGTACCAGACCGGGACCGGCAACGGGATCGCAACTCTCGGTGCTGCGCCCGCCCCTCGCTCAGCCAGTGAGCGGGAACCGGTCTGTATGTGGGATCTGAACCCTCGGCGGGAGCGCTGCTGCACTCCCAAGCGGCACACTGTAGCAGGGCGCCACCGGGCCGGCCCAAGGCAAATATTTTAAAAGGCACTTTTGCATCAGCACCTAGGGATTTAGTTTATTCTTTTAATATTTAAGGTGTCTCTTGATGGGAGAAAAATTATTCAGACATATATAAATATACACATATTAAATAATATGTGTGTGTATACATATATATATGTGTGTGTGTATATGCGTGTGTGTGTGTGTGTGTGTGTGTGTGTATTTATTTATTTATTTATTTTTATTTAAAGCAAACTCTGTATAGGGCAGAAAATGTTTTGGTTTTTCCATCTAGGGAGGCACGTCTTGAACAGGCTACATGGGAGCCTGTGACTCAAGGATTGTGAGGCAGAAGCGGTCAGAAGCTAAACTTATAAATGGAAAAACAAAATTGGAGAATATAGAGAACAAAGTGAGGATGAAAGAGGAAAAGAAATGGTGAGGTTATTTACAAAGAGAATGGAGAATGGGACTGGAAAGAGTAGGATCTATGAGCAGATAATCGGAGCATTTTAAGGATCTTTATTTTACTTTTTTCTATATCTACCTTTATTTTCATTTGGGCCTCACTATTAACCTCTGTATTAGACTGTTGTTTCTTATAGTAACACCACTGAGATTTTTTGAAAATTAATTTATTTTTTATGAATATTCATGAGATACAAAGCTAATTGTCACCCCTCATGCCCATGATGTGAGGGCCAGATTCATACTGGAGACATACCCACTACCAGAAATAACTTTTGTACCTCATGTCCCCCACCTAATTATGCAACAACCTCCCTACCCTTCCCCCTTCCCCCCCACTCCACTTTGTAGCCTTAGGAATGTTCCCTCCCTCTGTAAGACCAACACGCTACTGTGGTCTTTCTTTCCTTCCCTCCTTTCTCTCTTAGCTCCCACATATGAGTGAGCACCTGCAGTATTTATTCCCCTGTGCTTTGCTTATTTCACTCAACATAAGTTTCTCCAGGTTCACATATGTTGTTGCAAATGGGAATATTTCTTTCTTTCTTTTTTTTTTTTATGGCAGAGTAGTATTCTATGGTGTATGTATACCACAGTTTTCTTATCCAATTACCCATTGATGGATATTTAGGTTGGTTCCATATCTTAGCTATTCTAAACAGAGCTGCAATGAACTTGGTGTGCAAGTATCCCTTCGACATGATGATTTCCATTCCTCTGGGTATATACCCAGAAGTGGAATTGCTGGATCGTGTGGGAGATCTATCTGTAGTTGATCGAGAAACCTCCATACTATTTTCCATAGTTGTTGCACTAATTTACAGTCGCACCAACAGTGTAGGAATGTTCCCTTCTTCCCATACCCTCGCCAGCATTTATTATTCACTGTCTTTTTGATCATAGCCAGTCTAACTGGGGTGAGGTGGTATCTCAATGTAGTTTTAATTTGCATTTCCTTGATGACTAGTGATGTTGAGCATCTTTTTTTTTTAATGTATCTGTTGGCCATTTGTATGTCTTCTTTTGAAAAATGTCTATTCAGGTCCTTTGCCCATTTTTTCATTGGGTTATTTGGGGTTTTTTTTACTGTATAGTATACTCTGGTTTCTCTTCAGATTGTATAAATCTTTCATTTTTACTAAAGATTTCCATGGAGAGGAACAACTCCACTGAGATTTAGGTGGTCTCCAACTTTCAGTTCTTGGCCCTCTACTTTTTTTATATTTTGTTTCATGGAACATTTAAGTCAAATATATTCTGCCTCAGTGTATATTTTTGTACCAAATTACCATACTGACAATGAATAAATGGTAGAATGATGTCAGTAAATTTTTTAAAAATATTTTGTTTCTTTCCTGATATGTTAAGGTTTGAGGCAATTATATGAAAGCATTTTTAAATTTTAGTGACACAGAGACATTTACAGGGACATAAGAAGAAAATTGAAA